AAAGCAGTGCTATCTAATCTATACTTAGTATTCTGTTACAGTGCTTTAGAGCATTCATTAAAAGTAATGGTACAACTGCTACTGGCCTTTGGATTTAATAAAGGCATTTCAGCAATATTACTGACTGGATCATTTGAATTCCAACATCTATGAACCTACATGAAATCCCTTCAGAGCTGTGTAACCATGGCAGTTAAAAAAAAAGTGTACCCCTGAAGCCCAAGAGCAGGTCTAAAGGTCAGCAGCACTGCTTGCTCCCAGTGACATAATCAAATAGGTTATTGGTTTCCACCCCTCCTGACTGAAAAGAGCCTTTCCACCTTTATTGCTTTGGTTAAAGGTCATCCTCAGTTTGAAAATGCTGGTGGCAGTCTCTGAGGTCTGGGTAGTCCTGAAACAACAGCATTCTGTGTTGTCAAAGACTGGGTGGCAAACTGTACATCCTCACCACAAAAAAGGTCCTTGACAGTTTCAATTACGGTGCTTCCAGGGAAGTAGCCTGAACCACGAAATGTCGAAGTTCACCAGCTTCCAGTTACATCAGTAAACACAAACAATTCCTACCGAGGCTCAGAAATCAATTCCCACAATACATCTGCCAAATGCTTTTTAAATAACCAAATTGAACTGCCCCTTCTAATCTGCATCAGGGAAATAAAAAGCATCCTAACTTGTGATGTGTGAAGACAGAAGTGGAAAAGGAAGTAGCACTCACCGTTGCAAGTGCAGCGCACATTTCTGTAGAAACGAGGACACACGAAACTAATCCGTGCAGTGCTATAGGTCATCAGGGAATGAGAATCAATAGATAGGCTTTGCTCACAATGCTGTTCCTGACAATCCAGTCCTGAACAATTCTTCTCCAGGATAGCAGAGATGCGAATCACATTTTCCAAATGTCTCCTTGCATTGGTGAGCTTCTGAATCAAATAGGCAGGCTTATAAAATCCACCATTGTGCATCTGAACTGCAAACAGCATGTCAAGCTGATTGGTGCCTGCCACGGGCTGAATACTGATAATATGCAGGCTGTCTTGTTTCTGGGAAAGCACAGCGTTTCGCAGGGTGCGTCGGAAACCATGCATATGAAGCCCCACAAAATCCTCAGGAGAAACATTCTCAAATCGGATGGTAACTGTGTTCTGCAGCATTTCCTGTATCAGCTGCTCAACATGGACTACAACATCAATAGGCACTTGGAACCGGCCATCACTGACAGAAACATTCAGGATATACTTGCCATTATCCAGTCCTCCGAGGGCAATGATCTTTCCATCGTGGCTGTTAACCTTGAACAGACTTTTCTGCTCGGAATTTAGGGTATAAGTGAGGACGTCGTACACGTCTTGATCTGTGGCATGAATCTTCCCAATGACACCCCCTGGAAAGTCATCTTCCATAGTGACAATAAATATCTCTAGGGAAATAGCTGTTGGTTTATGAATGCTTTCTTCGATGACCCGTACCTGAATGTAGGTGTGGGACACCTGTTGAGGCTTCCCAGAATCTTTTGCCTAATTTAATTTGAAAAAAAAAGTGCACACATAATTTAGTCAAAAATATCTCTCCAAGCTATACATATTTACATAGCATCCATCATCATGAAGCACTTTCAGAGCACTTTAGACATATATTTGCAAAATACACAAAGAGGAGCACTTTGCAATGCACCGCAACACTGCAATCAGCCGTCTCTGAAGTAGCACCAAGAAACTCCTGAGAAAATGAAGAAAACTATGGGTGTAGATATACAAGATGAGTAATTAACACAAAGTAAGTCACCCAGATTTCACTCCATGGTAAATTTACTCAGTAGAAAGGACATATTATCAGCTCTCCTGAGCTGGCTGCCGACGGTTGGCATTACTACAGAAGATGGCCACTAGGGAGTAGAGCAGCTGCTTTGCAGTGAGCAAACAGTTACAGAGATGAAATGGCCTGGGGGAGCCATCACATGACTGGCATACCAGTATAACTTTCTGAGGGTAACTCTGTCTAAGAGTGGCATGACTTACACTGCCCCTTGTAGCAAACATAGTATACGTCTCCTATGTCTGTATACTATATTTGAGCAAGATTGCAGGGTGGAACATATAGATCGATACATAGTCCAAGTGGAAATGTGACCAGGATCACCACTGACAGCACAATGGAGGCATTAATGTCTTTGATTTAAATGATTATCATGATGGAAAACAAGTCAGTCCTATCTCAAACAAACAAGTGTCATTTAGTGAATCATCAACACTACTTTCTGCGGCAACTTGGAAGTGTGCTGGAAGTTTCTGACCCTGTTTACTTTTGGAGGAAGTAAGGAAGTTAGGATTTTTTATGTTGTCTTCTATACGGCTTTACCTGAAGCAGTCAAGAAACGTGGTTGAAACAGTGAAAATTTATCACTCTCAAAAATGAAGATGCACATTCTATTACTAACAATAAAACATGAGAGCAGAACAGAGCTCGGACAGATGACTCCAGGGCCCGGAGACCACATGATAGCATCATTTGCACTTTTTATAGAGAGCAAGGGAGTAGGTATGAGAAAAATCCAAGGCCATGCTGACAGAAGGGAGTGCTAACTTGGATCAATGTCCTTTTCCTGCGATAATAAAAATGTTACATTCAGCTCACTATTCAGATTTACTACTCCACACATATACTCAATCTAAAGGAGGCCAGAAGACTAAAGATAATACTGAATGTAGAGATTTGAATGCAGTTATTAAAATTAAAAAGGCAAACATGTAGAAGGAGGGTAATTATACACATGACTTCAACAGCAGAGCTGAACGCCCCTGAACATCATTTGTCACCACCTTGAACAGCAGTGACTGGGAGAGTTTACCAGAAAAGTCGAGCAATTATTTTGTGACTTCCCACCTCTCAAATTTAAGATTAAATTTTAATTTTAAAAAATGAGTGGTCCTAGTGGTAAAGCAGTGAGAATTTCTGAATCTGCAGTATTTCTCAGAATTTGAGTGTGTCATGACCTGCCAGTTGGGCACATGCAACAGTGGCAGTCTGAAATAGTTGTTCAGTGCAAAAATCCCTAAAGAAAGGAATATGGAGATTTAGGTGAAACATTAGGAGAAAAAAAAAACTAGCTGTAAAGCTAGCTGAGCACTTGAACAAGTTATCTAGACCCCTGACAGACATTACACTTAAAATGTGATTAGCAGGGATCTTGGTTTTCTCTGATTTAAAAACACCCCAATTGTTGGGTTAAAAAACAGTAATCCAAAATCTACATTTTTCTGTGATCAAAATGAAACACCACTATATATCTATATATCTGTGTGTGTGTGTGCACGTGTGTGTGTGTGTGTGTGTAATCATGGAACAATGCGGATTTTGGGTTACTTTTTAAAACCTGAAAATTGGGTATGTTTTTAAATCAGAGAAAACCAGGATCCCTACTAATCACATCTAAAGATTAGACAATTAACCCCAGCCATGTGTTCATTCAATTAATGGTGCAGTAAAACTGGGAATAAACTACATAGTTACATGGAAGATATGTAATAACTTTGTATCTTGTTCCCATTGTGCCATAACAGAATGTGTGGCCAGGCTGATCAGCTGACCTGTGCTCCCAGCCTCCGGACCACATGGAGCCCTAGACTCTGGCACCCTCCCATTGAGAATGGGAGTACAAACCAGCTGACTGGTGCTCCCAGCCTGGAGCCCTTGACTTTTACAATGAGACTTGAAGAAAACTGGTTGCAGTGCTGATGATGGATGACAGATCATTAAAAGTATCTTGATTTGAAATTTTAACTAGTGTCTAACATTAATTTGAGGTCCTTTAGCTCAGAACCAGCATACAATTATGCTGCCTCAAACATTCCATGGTATTGCATCTCCTTGAAAAGCAGGTCACAGGCTATATTTAAAGAAATTAACTAGAATAAAATAAAGGGCAGAGGCCTGTGCTTGGGGAATTATGGGACTAGTACTCTGGACTACTTCTGTGGCCTGTTCATTTAGACCTGTTCATTTATTCCAGTGAATCTGTTGCATCACAATGTTTCCCCACCTTTGTATGATAAGAAAAACAGACAATGCCCTTTTAAGTCACAGGTTACAAAAAATTACCCTAATTAGAAAGTTTTTCAACAGCAACTTTGAAGCTAGTTACCAAGGCTTTTATTATAAACCCTGTTTTCACATTCCTTATGCACTAAGCTGACCTTGAAAATATGATGTCATGAATGCTTGCTGTATTCCTGAAAGCATGATTAAATTTATGCCTAAAGACAAGATGTGATTTTTTTTCTATAACAATATTTTCCCATTGCTCTTTTTGTTGTGTGTTTATATGTATATAAGGCATTTTTCCTCTACTTTCTCCCTTAACTTTATAAGAAACTAAATGAAAATCTTGAATCACAAGGCTTGCTGCTCACAAAATCCATTTTGGACAAATAAAATGAGCAAGGTGGCCAGCTACCTATTTGTATTTACATGAAATAGGATTTGATAGCAGCAAAGAAATTGCACTATATTGAGCATTGCATATTGCAACACATTATATTTAAATCAATTAAAATCAACCCAAAGAAACAAGTAACATAAAAATAGCAGCAAATATAACCTCACATGAAGGCAGGGATCATTCCTTCCCCCCCCCCCCAAAAAAGTCTTTGCTTATTCACACAGATAGAGCCATACCTGCACGCAGAGCACATATTCAGTTGCTACCATATGCTTGAAAATAACTGCAGATCTTAAAACTCCATGTGGGTCCAGCGTAAATTCCTCCTCTTCGTTGCCAGTCAGAATGGTGAAGGTAAAGGGAGGGCCATTGTGAAAAGAGTCTTTGTCCATCACTACGAGCTGCAAAATGCTTGTGCCCACTGGTTTATTTTCCTTTTCACATATACACAAGACATAAAGAAAGGCGTAAAATGACAGATCTCACCACTTTGTTCAACTAATGTTTACTATTGAAAGCACAGAAGGAGCTGTTCTTTTCCTTCCCCCGGGACGAATTACGCGGCAGTAGTTACATGATTCTGTACTGTGCTAGTTGCACACTGGCCACCCAACCAAATTAAAAGGAAAAGGAGAGCTAACCAAGAGCAGAATCTGCCCAGCCTCCAGTGAGACATGTTTCCAGGCGGTTGTTACTCTCTGTATCTAGTTAATAACAACGCATAGGCTACATAAAGGGCAGAGAATTTTAAACCCTTCTCTGCTCATTATGTAGTTTGGGGCTGGGCACCCACAACTACATTTGTGAGACTATCGTGTGTTGACAAGGCTGGCTCTATGTTCTGCATGTCTCTTTGACCATTTTCGATATTAAGATAATCATGCTGTTATGCTACTTTGTGACTGTTTATATGACTACATGCCACTGTTAAATGTCACAATGTGAAGTTCGGGGTTTCTTGCAGGACAAACTGAAACAGATTGTAGTTTGGGATTTGTGCCCCCACGTTTTCACCCCTACCAGTCACCTATGTTCCAGACACGCCATCAAGTCAAGCAGGGACATTACTATTGCTGTGGATTTGATGTGAAAGGTTCTTTATAACAGATGGCAATAGAAAATAAGATAGAGATGTTTTCAAGATACAGTATTTATTAGTCAGAGCTGTAGAAACTCTGGGATATCATGGGATAGGGCAATCTGTGGACTGCTCATTTTTCTGTCGCCTGTTCCTGAAACATCTCCTGACTTTCTAACCAAAGAAAGCTTGAACCCCTTGTTTAAAAATATGGGTTTTCATTGTCCATCTAGGTTAGGGACAGACATTACACATAAACTGGTTTAAGCGATCAGAAACTGGTTTAAACCTGTAACAGCACAGACGTTCAGTGCACACAAATCAGTTTGAGAATGGCTAAAACCAGTTTGAGATAAACCTGGTTGAATGTAGTATCAGACTTAACTGATTTGGCTCAAACTGGTTTATGCAAGACCCCTTTCTGGTTTAAATTAAATCAGACTCCCCCAGCATCCCGGCATGCTCTCTGGCTGGGCGGGGCTCTCTGCTCCACAGCAGGTCTGGCCCCTCCCTTCTGCTCCCTGGCTGCAGCGTGGGCAGTCTCTTCAGGCATCTGCCTGGCTTCTGCTCTTTGCCCCCACCCCCAACTCTCCGCTATGCAGTCATTCTCCTGTCCCTCATACAGTATTAGCTAGCAGACCACATGCTGGCTACCAGGACAAAGGTAGAATCAACAGATAGCTGGTAATGCCCTTCTGTTTTTTTAATGGGGTGATAAACATTTCCTGCTGGGCTGTTCAGGAAGGGGGGGATGACCCTCCCTAATTAGAATCCTGTACGGGCCTGGCCACGCCCCCCTCAGCTCAGCTCTGTGCAAGGGAAGGGAGGGCTGCTCTAGTGTCCCCCCATCTTCTAGCCTGAGCCACTGCTGGCATGTGCCTGCATTTTTGGGATGTCTGTCTGGTTACAAAACTGATTTAGCTTAGCCAGGTTAGACTAACTTGCAAAGACTGAATCAATTCAGGCTCAGGCTTTCTGAATGTCTGTCCCTAGCCCTAGGGGATGGTCAGGGAGTTTCCTTGTAGGAGAGAGACAGAGCACGAGATGGCAACTGGAATTGCTATTGTTGAAGAGGAAGAGAAAAATATTTCTGAAACCAGAGAGAGTTTTCTAGAGCACCTGGGATAATAATAAAATCTGTGGCAGAACCTAAGGTTGAAGAGCCTTGGTAAACACAAAAAGTATCAAAGAGTTAATAAAACACACGCTCATCCTTTTCTTTAAAGAAGATAATTTGATACACCCCAGGCTGAGAAATCATTAAGAAACAACTTAACTGTAACAAAATGCCTTCATATTGTAAAGATGAACAAAGATTTTTTTCTTATAAGTGGGATAAACTTACTTGAATTACAGCTGTATAGTTAGCTGGTGTAAATAGGGGGCCATTATCGTTTACATCCGAAATGTCTACGTTGACCGTTACAGAAGATGACAATGGAGGGACTCCGCTGTCTTTTGCTTGAATAACTAATGAATAACCAGACACCTGTGAAAACATTAAATCAGTGTGAAAGATTTCCTACATTTTAGCTCTGCTACCATTCAACATCCTATGTGCCATATACCATATTCCATGGAAAAGATGTTCAGCCTCGTTACTCTCTGTGCCTTTTGTATAACATTTCCCCATTTATTGCTAAACTATGTCCCAAACTCTGTTTTATAAGGCTATCAATAATCCTAATGGCTTCAACATATTAAAATAACTATTAGACGATGTGTTTTATAGATAACGGCACACTTAAAAACAAACAAACTGTATGCTGCCTTGCATATGATATTCCAAACCAGCTATTACAATTGTAACCAACATGCATGAAGAAAAAATGCTTTCCCATTTCTTTAGTGTGTCAGCTGAAACTTTGTAGCTGGAACTGAGGTTTTAAAAATGGTTTCCAGGAATCTTTTATAAATGATTTATCACAGTGTATATGATTATTGATTTAACACAATATTTCTAACATGGCATTTGTGAATACCAAACTAAAGTTCACAGATCAGCAACTAAAATATACCAGTAAGCACTGTGGATGGCTGTGAGCTCTAGTCTGTTTGTAGCCCATGGTTTAAATATGTAGTCTGCAACTGAGTAGTATCAGTGCCCTGATGATAGATGGTTTGTGGCTATTTCTATCAAGGATACTCAAAAAATCTATTCTTTTAGTGGCAGCTAGGTAATACAGTTGCAAATTATACATCTAAGCAAGGGCCACAATGGCAGTATGGCCCTCAACCACCATCCTCTCACTAAGCGCAGGTCACAGGGTGCCTGCAACAGATTTGATTTAAAACAGCAATACAGCACCTAGAGAAGGACTTTCCTTTCTCCCTCTCTCTTCAGACAGGCTCTGGCTGGTTCTGAGTTGTTGTCTTTTTTTTCCTTTGCCCTGCTGCCTATGGCATTTTTGTTTTCTGGTTTTGCTTTTCTTTGCCCTCTCTCTCTCTCTCTCTCACCCTGGAATTTGGATCTTAATCCATGTATTCACCCCTTCAAAATGAACACATTTTCTGTGTCTGAAAGTTTAGGTCTGTATGTTTTATTTATATCAGACTGGTTAGGACCCTCACTGGTATCCTACTGTTTGTCTGATATCTTATGCATTCAGAACTAGCCTTGTCACACTCACTGAAGAATATCAGAGGCAATGAATCAAATTCTGTCCTGATGTTAGCAGGTGCAACTCCATTCACTTGCTAGGACCTGTGATGCTCTTATAAAGTATGTGTATAAGTATTTGCTGCATCTAGATACAGCCTGTGGATGATGGTTTGATGGTATGAACTGGCTGAACTTTAAGTCTTATGAATCCCTGTTACTGTGCACTGCCTCATGCTCCTTGTGCTGTGGAGATCTGGGAGTGGTGCCAACATTTCAATCTGCAAATAATTCTTATCCAGGGAGAGAAGAGGAGTAACTGTATTCTAGAAAAGAGCAGTTTTCTCCCAATCATTGTGTAATGGGGCTGGGATTTGGAAAGTGGAAATCCCTCAGACAGAAGAACAAAAAAGTATCAGTGCTGGGTTATAAAAATCACAGCACTAAAGGGTGCATATCCCCTGCACTCTTAGGGCTACTGTCAAAGAATGTGGCCCCACATACCTGCTCCTGCTTACGTGCACCACACCTGGATATATAGTGGGGAAGACACTGTACAGGTATCGCCCACTGCATTTATGGGTTTGCTGCGTGCAAGTGGGAGAGCGAGGGTAGACCCATGCCTTTCAGTGGCAGTTTTGGTAGAGCCAGGGAAACATAGTAGACAAACTCTAAGAGCTTATTGGCACAGGGAACTCAAAGGAGCTCAGAGAAACTAAGCCTAGGTACAGACATTCAAAAAGCCTGAGTGCAAAACTTCTGTTCTGTTATAGGTATAGACTGGTTTTGTGTGCCAAATTTATGTTCTGTTATGTCTAGATCAGTTTTCAATCACTTATACCAGTAAAAATGTAATGTCTGTACCTGGCCTAAGGAAGATAGGGCAAGAGAGAGAAACAAGAGGCAGGCTTTCATGGCAGAGAAGCTATATTTGTAGCTGTGGAAGCTGGTGAGGATAAGCCAACTCATCATACAGAGGAGAGAGACATGATGATTTGTAGAAAAAGCCATGTACAGAGAATAAATCCTAGATTTCCCTGTTCTAAGCCCAAAGGATGCTCAATAGGGCTTAAGAAAGTGAGACAGGGAAATGCAATGAGAGAGTGTCTTTGCTTTGTTTAGTTCTGTACAGAGCAACTGAGCTGGATCCTTTGCAATGCCTGTGAGTCTGTCTGCTTCTAGTATCACATATCTTTGAAGAGGTAAATCCCAAACTCACCATACCCATAAGACTAGAATTCAGGAAGAGAATCCCCATATCTCAAAAAGGAGACGGGGTGGTTCAACAATGCCTTTGAAGCCTATGGCAGCTAGCTATGAAGAGGAAGAGACAGAGAGCCTCAATCCAGAAAGTCTGCCAGAGAGGCAAGGGAGGAAAGTTTTGCAGTCTCCCATAACCACTAGAAGCTTAGGAACACACATCTAGCACCTAAACATGGGGATCTGGGAGTGCATGTGTACCTCTGTATTTACTGCACAGCTATTCTAAACACAAACACAAAATTTAAGCAATTTAAGGCTGTTTAGTTAAGAAAACTATAGCAGGGGGCTAAGCTTTTTTGGCAGGAGTGCCACAAGCTAGCCCCACACCCTCCCCAAGTGCCACTCCTATCCTTTTCCCCTCCATGCTTTGCTTTCTGCTCCTTGCCCCATCTGCCATTGTACTGCCTGTCCCTTCCCCAGTCTGCTGTGCACCACACATAAAGGCTGCCTGTGCCACTTGTGGCACCCTTGTCACAGGTGGGCCATCCCTGATCTGTAGCATATATACTTTGGTCTATAGATTACAGCAAAGAATGGATGCACAGACATTATCTCCATCGCATCAGTATCTTTAGCAACCTGCAGTGAATCATTCTGCTATGAGGATACTAAATACTGACAATTTAATCCTGCTTTCACCTTAATGCGAAGGGATATTTGCCTTTGAATTAAGTAGCTTTGCTGCCAATAGACATCTTTTCCATTTGAGCCTATATTCATTTTTTATAATCCTGATTTAGCACTCTAGTGCCACTGGTATTGTTTGGAGACACTGGGTAGGGATATCTTTGCATAGTGCAAAATTCCTGAAGTCATGTAACTTTCTCCAATATTCTCAGGGTAAAAAACGGTAAATATAGTTTTTTCAAAAGCTGTTAATTGGTAACAAAAGCAGGGTGATAATAAGTTGTCCTGGGTGAATGGATGTATCAGGATAAACAGAACAGTGACATCAATCTAATATAGCACCTGTACAGTTGAACAGGTTCACAACAATCTTCCTAATGAAATTTTTCACACGGTATCACCTTATGGCAGTGGTCTGGGCTCCATGCTTGGTACCATGTTTAAGAGCATATTATAATCAAAGTTGCATACATAACAGTTTGTACATGGGAGAAAGAGTGGCAGCTCATTAACAGGCTACAGCTGCCTTTGTTGCCACATGTGAAATCTACACAGGTTTATCACACCTCCAGGTTTTGCCAGACTTGATCTCATTTCCTATGACAGCAGCGGATATGAGTGCTTCAGCAAAGGCTCACTCAAAAATATGATGAAGAGGAGGAAGAAGTTGAGCAATATTAAAAATAGGTAATAGACTATTTTATGGTAACAAGTATAGACTGTGAAAATGACCAGCCTGTAATAATATGCAAAGCCAAAACTAGAGATGAAGTCAATATCCATATACAATTTAAAGTGAGATAAGAAAGAAGCTCAGTGCATGTTCACTTACCCTCTCTCTGTCCAATTTCTTTTTAACCTTCACAAGTCCCAAAACTGGATCAACTGAAAATTCATTATCTCTATCACCATTCACTATGGAGAAATGAATCTGGCCATTGGAAGGACTGTCCACGTCTTCTGCTATCAACTTTTTGGAGAGAAGAATAAAATTAGCTAAGTAAACAAGGAATGATTTCTAGTTTAAACATCCAAAGGAATAACTTCATATTCTGTCAAGTTAGTACATTTAAATTACATGTGTGGGTTGGTATATATGTTTTCTTATGTTAAATCATGAATCTGGGATGCTGAACTATTTAGACGCGTCAAAACTGCATGCATATTATGCATATTGTAGGTAATCATACTGCTAAACACAATCATTTAATTTATTTATGCCACATTTTAGAGAAAAATATTTTTGAAAATGCTTTAAATAGTTTTGGAGCTGTAGCCTGGGGCTTTCAAAGGAAGCTGCAGGAGTTGAGTAATTTACTATAGAAGCAGGGTGCCTACCCCCCTAAAAGCCTTTGAAAATCCCAGCCTTAAAATTAATTTAATGCTACTAGTTCAAATAAACCTTTGCTTATAAATCCAGAAGTTATTTTGTAAAAAAAGTCTTGCAATGCTGAGGTGTGATAGCTTGCATGCCAGAATCGCTAGATAGAAATACTATTTATTTCCCTGAAAGGCCTTGAATTTTGCCTCTCCAATTTGAGATAACATCTGTTTCTAGCTCTGCTGAATCATGAGATATCAGATGTTAAAGCC